TATACAAGTAGAAATCTAACGTCGCACCCATGTGCGCACTCATCATTACGCCGTCGGTGTGTATAGAAATACTACTATAATGATCGTAAAATCGTAACGTGTGGTTAGCTAAATGTAAGGATGCTTTTTTGAAACAAGTTATTATAAACGGAAGTAATATTTTATAGAAATTTTTTAGGAATTTTAAGTTTAATGAATATATACTTCAGGTTACGTTAAATCAAGGTAAATGATTCAGGATGCTAAGTGATGAAATGTAAAGTTTAATACAGAAAAATGTATAAATGTTGATGTTGAATTTGTTATAATAAAATCAGTATTTATATTATATTACTTTGAGATTAAGTTATGTATTATATATCTTAAAAATAATATTAGGATCTTGAATAAGTTCTTGTTGTTTTCCAACAGATGGTGTTAACAGAACTGTGTGCGCAAAGTTTCGGATGGTAACGCATCTATAAGGAAGTACTATAAGCAAGCTTGAAATTGTGTATGTCATTTCGTCAACTTTGTTTTTCACAGCGTTTAAACATGTCTGATTTCGTTCCGAAGAAAGTGTATTTTCGGAGAATTTTACTGCACTACTTTATTCAAAAACATCTGCAGGTGAAGCACATAGAATTCTTGTGGAGACTTACGGCGACCATCCTCTCTCGGAAACAACATGCAGAGACTGGTTTAGATGCTTCAAAAATAATGATTATGATGTTGAATATAAAGGACGCTGTGGCGCACCGAAAAAATTGAAGACGAAGAATTGAAGGCATTATTTCATGAAGTTGATTACACAAGAGTTTCGAAACGTTTGAAAGCATTATAAATGATCGAAAATTAAGGAAATTGGGTACCGAGAGATGTCAAATGGCGTCTTGTCACGTGTGAACAACTGCTTCAACAGCAGAAAAAGAAATGCTTTTTTAATAACCCTAAGCTTAGATGATCATGGGTTAAACTTCGGCGGCAAATCCGAATAATCATGGTTCGAAGCTTCTGCTCTCCATTTGGTGAGATCAGTTGGATTATCAGCTGCTCAAACCGACCGGGAGATCTCTATCGACGACAATTGATGCGTTTGAGCCGAGCATTGAAGAAAAAACAGCCGCTCTAAGATGAGAAACATGGCAAAGTGATTTTACATGATAACGTAAAAGACGTTAGAGAGAGGTGTGGGTTGGTAAACTGGCTATTATAGGTAATATAGCGAGACTCTTCGCAAAAAGCGAAATGAGTCACTGGCTATCACTGGGGGTGTTTCTAAAAATAAATACGCTAAAATCCACCTAGGTCCCTGCCGATTGCCGACGGCTTAATAGTAGAATCTACGACTGACACCAATTCAGTCCTAGCAAGAGGCAGCCGGATGTCTAGTCACACTGTTGTGTTGCGAAACTGTCTGTCTGTGGATGACGTTATATATATATATGTATATATATGGATAGAATAGGAAATATATATCAGTATATATCAGAACAATGTTTGGTAAATTATTGACAAAATGGAAAATAATGTGACAAGTTTCGCCTAAATTAATATTTTTAATAATTTATAACATTACTTGTGTCCACAAAAAACGGTAAAAGACGAAACCAGTGATAGTGAATATCATACAATGTATGTGTGCTTGAGTGGCTGTGTTTGTGTATGGTTTATTCACTGTGTCGTTCAAGAAAAACTTTCTCACCAGAATCTAGGATTCGTTCATACACTGAAAAATTGCTGCCACTGGTCAAGTCCATCTGCTAAATATTTACAGATTAATAGTAAAATACAAAGAAGAATCTGCAATCTTATCGGTCCTGATTTGCCATGTAGGTATCGGGCTCATTTCCATTGCCATTGCGGTGCTTTTTCAGTCATTATTTTCATGGTACTTGTTGTCATAATATATATATATATATATATATATATATATATATATATATATATATATATATATGCATGTATGTATGTATATGTTTATATATATATTAAAGATTCCTTTTTAAGCCACAGAATGTTTTGTAAGTACGTATCTATCTCTAAATATCTCTCTCTCTCTCTATCTCTCTATATATATATATATATATATATATATATATATATATATATATATATATATATATGTTGGTTGGATAGATGTTAAACCCAGGGTCAAAACTCACATCTATCCAACCAAATATGTTAGCTCTATCTCTGATATTGATCACTTTTCTAATAAGTACCGCAAATATAATATATAAATAATTATACATATATATTTTATTTATATTTATATACAATTTTCATATATATATATATATATATATATATATATATATATATATATATATATATATATAAATATATATCAGTCTATCTATATATCTATTTATAATAGATTTGCTCATATTTAACACTAAGGTTAAATAAATATTTTTCTGTATGTTTCAGTTTTATCTCTCTCTCTCTCTCTCTCTCTATATATATATATATATATATATATATATATATATATATATATATATATATGTCCAAACATATCTATCTATGTCTAATCATATCTATCTATCTATCTATCTATCTGTCTTTTTCTCTAGTTTACTCTCTCTCGTTCACCATATATATGTATATATATATATATATATATATATATATCTATATCTATATATCTATATATATATATATATATATATATATATATATATATATATATATATATATATATATATATATATATATATATATATATATATATATATATATATATATATATATATATATATACAGAGAAAGAGACAGAGGAGAGAGAGAGACTGCAGGTTATAAATAATCCGATTATTGATTGCATGATTTAACTTATTATTTTCAATTTCTCCTCGATTCTAAGTATTGCATTGCATATGGAAAAGCAATTTTGAATTTGTCTTGTGTATTTAACATCATGCCTCCCACTTCCACTCAAACATGCTACATAAATCTGCTCATAAATATGTGTATTTTTTGTTCTTGTTTGTCCATGACAAACGTATTTTTTGTATTCATGCTGATTTGTTTATGTACGTGTATTTGTAAGTGCTCACTCACTGCAAACTTCCAAAATAATTGTATGTTTGATCATTTACCGAGATTCAAACCAACCTATTTGCACACACACACTATAAACACACATATATATATATATATATATATATATATATATATATATATATATATATATATATGTTCATACATGTTTCATTAAATAACATAGACAAGTGTCTATTTTATGTAAATTCTTTTCATATCGTCTGATAAGCTTAATAACATCATTAAACGAAGAAAGATAATCACAATATTGATACATATTTTTAATCCAATCTAATCTTTCGGCTTACATAAGGCATTATCAAAGATGACAATTACAGTACAATATATTAAGCAATACACGGACAAGAAAGTGATGATAGTCTGTTTCTGTTTACATGGATGATTTCCAAGCAACGATAAACACGTGCATATAAGATGCTGGAAGCGAAAATCGCACCTCAGCTCATGACGCCACACATGACCACGCGAGAGTGAATTCGAGAAGTATTAAGTATGGGAAGCCGTTGGTATAAACCAATGGCTTCTGTTAGCAGTTATAGTCATTACGAATATTTGTGGAGATTTCATAGTTTATATTGTTCAGCATAGGTTTCAACTGTTTTATGTATATAGCTTCAGAGATTTTTAGCTTTTGTTTATAAAATGCTACACATAATATATATATATATATATATATATATATATATATATATATATATATATATATATATATATATATATATATATATATATATATATATACAGGGTGATTAAAAATAAATCTCTATTTCATTTGTGATGAACGCTCCCGTCTTATAAAAATAATAGTTACACAGGAGAGTCCATCATTAATAAAAGGAATTACTTTTCAATCACCAATGTATATATATATATATATATATATATATATATATATATATATATATATATATATATATATATATATATATATATATATTACAGTGTTTTTTTTAACATAATAATAGCCCTTTTTAAAGAAATGATGAAAATTATGTCGTTATGTGTATAAAAACTCATGGACCAAAATCTTTTTTATTATCGAAAAACTATATTACAATCTCGAAAATGAAGGAGCTAAACTTTTCTTATGAGCACAGTCGGCATTATTCCTGCAATGCTCTAAGAATATGTTAGAAATTCCTTCTTTAAATAATGCGTCTCCAGATATATTTTTCCGTTAAAAGAAAGGAACTCTCAATCAACTAATGGAATGGAAACAGATGTTTAACACATTCGATTTTGTTTCTCGAATTCTTCTTCTCCTTCTTCTTCTTCGTTTTCTTCTTCTTCTTCTTCTTCTTCTTCTTCTTCTTCTTCTTCTTCTTCTTCTTCTTCTTCTTCAATTTGTTATGTCCCTTCAGTATGTTGACTATCATGACTCTCCACAATTTCTTGTCTTTTGTTGCTCTTAATAAATATAGTCTTTTTGTTATCTCCCCTAAACTTCGTTCCACCATCCATTTACACTAGTTCAGTAGGTAAGTTACTCGTTGGCTTCCGCTGTCGCACTTGCCTTCAATCTGTCCTGTGGGTGCCAATTTTTCCAATTCTTTTTTCCTCAGGATTTGTCCTAGGCATTTTATCTGTCCCGAATACTAACCTAATCAAAAACCCGGATTCTTTTTCTCATTCTCTTTCTCTATCTATCTATCTATCTATCTATCTATCTATCTATCTATCTATGTCTAATCATATCTATCTATTTATGTCTAATCATATCTATCTATCTAATCATATCTATCTATGTCGAATCATGTCTATCTCTCTATCTCTCTATCTATCTATCTATCTATGTCTATCATATCTATCTATTTATGTCTAAACATATCTATCTATATATCTAATCTATCTGTCTATCTATCTATATATCTATCTATGTCTAATCATATCTATCTATATATCTAATCTATCTATCTATTTATCTATCTATGTCTAATCATGTTTATCTATCTATGTCTATCATATCTATCTATCTATCTATTCTTTCTATCTATCTATCTATCTATCTATCTATCTATCTATCTATCTATCTATCTATCTCTCTCTCTCTCTCTCTCTCTCTTCCTATCTATCTAACTATCTATGGTCTCTCAATATCTTCCATACCTTTCATTTTATTTCTGATCTTTATTCTTATATACATTTAAGCAAACCTATCATGAAGGATATTCAGTATTTTTCTCTGATTTGTTGATTTCGATATCCCTTGTGAGTTTGAAATTCTCCAACACTTATTTTCTCATTATTATGGACCCCAAACATTCAAATGTTCTATTACTTACTGTTAGCAACAGTCTTTATGCCGTTTCTATTCCTCTTAAGTTTCCTCTCTAGTTATTTTTTCTTTCTCTGGTCCCCTCAAAAATATAAAACACTGCTGTTGCTTTTGTCTCTTCAACTATGACAGAAATGATACATACCCATAAAGAAGATTATATATTACAGGTTGCGGCATAAATACTATTTCAAATGAATTCCATTTTGTATTTTTGGTCATTACATTTTTGTTTACTCGCCCAACAACTTATAATATTAGTTTATTCAAAGTATTTAGTATTTACTGGTAACAATGTCTATAGAGAGAATATACTTCATCTGAGATTTTTAAAGCTGGAAAACAATTTGTAATCAATAGAAGGCTTGTGAACCGAACAATCGATCGATAGAACGAGACTTCCACCTTCAAAGATAGACCGAGATTAGGATGTCCTCTCCCCCCCACCAGAATGCCAAAACTCATTAAACGATTCATTGTGTGAAAAAAAAAAAAATCAGGTGCAATCCAAGAAGGTCAAGGAGAAAATTGGCTAAGCAGGCCGGAACATCTGGGAGAACCATGCAGAGGCTATGTCGAAATGATCTAGAGATATCACCCTACAATTCTAACATAAAACAAATTCTTTAAACTAAAAAAATTTTTAATTTTCCCTATCTTCTTTTATCCATTTTTTTAAAAAAAAATTTTAGCTGTTCTAATGAAACGCAATCCTCATATTTACATTTCCATTTTTAGAATAAAATAAACCAGTTTGTCTTTCATTTCTGATCTATTGAAAAATCTTTAAATTCCAATATGTGTGGGTTAGTGTGATATAATATCCATAAATTTATGAATAATGTTCCTAAAATTCCTTTCTGTCATGTTGATATTGAACTATCAAAATAAAATTTCCATTTTATATCATAATGTGCTGTAAAATATAATAATAATTTATTTAAATATTATATATATATATATATGTGTGTATATATATATATATATATAATATATATATATTGTGAATTTCTTTTTTATATATATATAATATTATATATATTATAGAAACGTTATATAATAAAATAAATAGATTAATTACACTATATATATATATATATATATATATATATATATGAATATAGATATTCAAAATATTTTTATGATTAAATTTTTTGCTCTAGTCAAAATATCGTCCTTTAGTCTTGATTACTACAGCATAATTTTTTGGCATTCATTGCAAAAGTTTCTCAAAGTATAATTTTGATAATGGATTCCATTCTTTTTTTCATTGACTCTAAGTGAACTTTCCTATTTTTTTTTTCACTCTTCTGTCAATTTTATAGGTATAAATCCATCTCTTTTCCTCTTCCTGCTATGGGTAAATAGCAGGACACACCACGCCCTATAACCGGGTGTGGCATCAAGTCCAGCAGGAGTACAACACTGAAAATCCTTATGAAGGTTTTTATTTTACCTTGTGGCACATTATGTATACACGTTCACTGTATTCACTATTTTCGAAAAAGGTGTAGTTAGTTCTGCACATGCCTTCATTATAATCAAATTATATATGTACTTATATGAATTGAACTACTACTATAAAGCTGTTAGTGAAACACATTCCTGATGGCGCCTTTTAAAAATAATTTTCACTGAGGAGAAAAATTTCGCTGTTGAGCATACTTTTAATGATCAAAATTATCGTGTACTTTCAACAAATTGGCAAAGTTCCCACCGCTCCAGATTAATGCCTCAGAAACCAAAAACCTGCATCAGTTATGGTTTGGGCAACCACTTCTGTCCAAAACCATTCAGAAAAAGGAAACGTCTCTTAGTTTCGTGCTTCAAGGGGTAAATATCAACATAGAGATATATACCCCGAGGACATCTTGGAAGGTGAACTCAAGCCATGGTGCAATGTTACTCATGGTGATAAACAATGGACAGTTCAACAAGACGGATCGTCGAACTATATTTATCGTGTAGCACAGCAGCGGTAGAGAGAAAATTGCCCTGGCTTCAACACCAAGGACAAATGGGCTTCCTCATTCCCTCTTGGCTATTGTTTGTGTATCACACTATTCAATCTTTGTGTTAAAATTGTATCCTGATATAATACATTTTTTTAGGAACTATGACCTATATTTGTAATAGTATTTATTTGTAATAGTATTTATGCCGCACCGTGCAGAAATGTATTATCGAGTCCCCTAATAATTTACTCAGTTTCTGAAAGGCATCTTTTATAATTTCTACATGAATTTGGATTACTGTCTTCACATCTCGTCCCCTGTTATTAACCTATCCTCATATAAATCAGTACTTTCATTCTTATGAAGATGTCACAAAATGGGTCGACTCGGGTTTAACCTGAAATGAAGTGTCGTTTTACCGACGTGGATTTCAAATGCTGCCAGAAAGATGAGAATAGAAGTGGCTAGTGATGGCCAATAATTTCAGTGACATGGTTCTTAATATTTGTTTTGTAAATAAAACATTACTTTTCATAAAAAATCAGCGAGAACTTCTAATAGAATGTTAAAAATTTAACCGTTTCTTTTAATTTAAAAAAAAAATATGGTTTATACACCCTTTCTAAGAATAATTGATTTTTTTTGTGAAGGTGAATAGTGTATTAAAATGCTTTAGATAACACATATTTTTCAAGATACAATTCTTATTATGTAACGCATAGTTGGGTGAAGAAGAGACGGGTTTATAACTTTCCTAATAGTAATAATATTTCCCATTATTTGAAGGAGGTACGTTGGAATAAGTATTAAAGATTAAGAAATCGGAGATCTGTGTTCGCATTCCACTCGAGTTGATTGAATTCACTTACGTACTATTACCCATAGAAAAGGTAAGAGATCATCTTTTCTCCCCTTCTTTATGGGTAAAATAACAGTACAGCCTAGGAGGAAAACTCTGAATTCAAATCGAAAGCACTCTCTTAAAAGTGGGTATGCAAGCGGATAGGAAGGGCTGTCAATCCAGATTCCAACGGAAAAATCCTGCTATAGATGGCAACGTCTGAATGAATACGTCCTCTGCTACGCTTGGTTGGCTGTTGTTCGGATGTGGCGACAAAAGCGAGTGTAAAGAACCAGATTGGAATTCGATCTCGGCTCTCTGCTTCGAGATCCATGACAGCGCTGCGCATATTCGACCTCATAAGTAAAAGACAACACAACACAAGCTGACCCGTGAAGACACGATGTATGTCGTATGAAGACGTGATTTTTGAATAAAGACGAAACTGACATAAACTGACACAAATGAACCCAATCTTTTTTATTGTTGTTTATTCAATTAAATCTTTATAACTCATTCTCTATCCCCATGTATAAGGTTTGCTCCCTGGTTCAGTACACGTTACAGATGATCTGAAATATTACTGCGTAAATCACGCTTTCCTTCCTTTTTGTACAAAATCTTTTTGTCGTATAAATACGTTTCTATGTTCTATGAAACAGGTAATTCAAAACGTATATTGGTCTCCCGGATTCTATTCTGATAATAAAAATTGTTAATATTTCCATGGTTGAAAATTCCAAAGATAAAGAAAAAAAAAACCATTAGACGCTTAAACTTAATTCACATTTAATATCGGACCAAGTCATTGCAAAATCCTTTATAAAATTTATGACACTTTCATAAGTCTTCCTGCATATGATATTGTCGGCTCCGTACGCATATTATCACACAAGAATAACCAACCAAGCAGAGAGAGTATTATTATTTTTAAAGCGTTTCACTAGCACACAAGGACTAACAGAGAGATGGAGCGATATCAAAGAGGAGTGATAGAGGAAAAGATGAAGAGAAGGATAGGGGGTAGATCAAGGCATCTGGAGACGTCATTTGACATTACATTTGAATAGTTGGAGATTATAACTATCAGGGAAACAGGAAGAGGGGAGGGAGTTCCACAGGCGATAGGTGCGAGACATGAAGCTATTGGAGTAGAAGAGACGGCTACATTTAACAGTTTCGACAGTGAAAGGGTGAGAGCGAGATGCCAGCCTAGTTGAACGTTTAAATTCATGAAATCTGGGAACCAGCGAAAGCAGCTCATCGGAGCAATTACCGTGAAAGTATTTGTAAAAAAAAAAAAAAAAAAGATAGAGGGAGGTGACGGCACGTCTGTGAGAGAGAGCGACTGCAGACGAGATGCCAGATAAGGGCTAATTACAATTCATACCCGTCTCTGGATTTTATCAAGGACCTTGAGACAAACAGACGGGGCACCAGACCATATATGGCAGCAATACTCCATGCAAGGGCGAATGGTTGATTTGTAGATTTGCTTTTAAAATACTTTCAAGGCATTCTATTACAAGAAGTGAATGAACCATATCTATCTATCTCGTATCTATCTATCTATCTATCTATCTATCTATCTATCTATCACAGTCTGTTAAAATGTATCTATGTATCTATCAGTCTAATTCCGTTGATATCTATCTATCTATCTATCTATCTATCTATCTATCTATCTATCTAATTCCGTTGATATCTATCTATCATATCTATCTATCTATCTATCTATCTATCTATCTATCACAGTCTGTTAAAATCTATCTAATATCTATCTAATTCCGTTGATATCTATTCATCTATCTATTGATCTATCTATCTATCTATCTATCTATCTATTTATCTATCTATCTATCTATCTATCTATCTAATTGTTTTGATATTCATTCTATCTATCTATCACAGTCTGTTAAAATGTATCTATCTATGTACCTATCTATCTAATTCCGTTGATATCTATCTATCTATCTATCTATCTAATTCCGTTGATATCTATCTATCTATCTATCTATCTATCTATCTATCACAGTCTGTTAAAATGTATCTATCTATGATCGATCTATCTAATTCCGTTGATCATCTATCTATCTATCTATCTATCTATCTATCTATCTATCTTTCTTCTATCTATCATCAGTCTGTTAAAATGTATCTATCTATGTATCTATCTATCTAATTCCGTTGATATCTATCTATCTATCTATCTATCTATCTATCTATCTATCTATCTATCTATCTAATTCAGTTGATATCTATCTATCTATCTATCTATCTATCTATCTATCTATCTATCTATCTATCTATCTCTCACAGTCTGTTAAAATGTATCTATCTATGTATCTATCTATCTAATTCCGTTGATATCTATCTATCTATCTATCTATCTATCTATCTATCTATCTATCTATCTAATTCCGTTGATATCTATCTATCTATCTATCTATCTATCTATCTATCTATCTAATTCCGTTGATATCTATCTATCTATCTATCTATCTATCTATCTATCACAGTCTGTTAAAATGTATCTATCTATGTATCTATCTAATTCCGTTGATATCTATCTATCTATCTATCTATCTATCTATCTATCTATCTATCTAATTCCGTTGATATCTATCTATCTATCTATCTATCACAGTCTGTTAAAATGTATCTATCTATGTATCTATCTATCTAATTCCGTTGATATTATCTATCTATCTATCTATCTATCTATCTATCTATCTATCTATCTCCAGCTTTTCATTCCTTCTTGTTTATTCTTCCGTTTTATCTTTTTATCACTCCATATGTTATTGGTAGAAATTTTATTTAAAACTATTGCAAAAGAGTCTTCTATATAAAATCTGCCTGCCTACCGAATAAATCAGCCTTTGAGGTTGTGAAGTTTATCTGAACTCGAACACCGACATCTGGAGCATTTCTATGTGCCTTATGCTTTACCTTTTATATAAATAAATCTTGCATGTCTCTGTTTCCTTTTGCTTTATTATTTAATCAATATATATGGGATTTTCTTTTATTTGATCTTGTTTTTAAGAATTGTGTCAGATAAGAAACAAACATATTCCGTGGAATGGTAATTCTGACAAAATTTTAAAAGCAGGCAAATCAGAAGACATAATTCTTCAAGCGGAAAACAAGTGAAAGACGACGAAAAAAGACAGATTTTAAATTTTTCTCAGATTTGGAGCAGGAACATAAAAAAATATTTAGAAAATAGAGAAGTAAATTTAAATACTTTTCATCAATTTTTATCATTGTTAGCATTTTCTTCTTCTTCTTCTTCTTCTTCTTCTTCTTCTTCTTCTTCTTCTTCTTTTTCTTCTTCTTCTTCTTCTTCTTCTTCTTCTTCTTCTTCTTCTTCTTCTTCTTCTTCTTCTTCTGCTTCTTCTTCTTCTTCCTCTTCATCATCTTCTTCTTCTTCTTCATCAATTTCTATTGTCTTTTCTTCTAGAACATTCAAAACTATGCTTTTTCGCTTGTTTAGTCTCTTTAATAATTTTTATACATTTCAGGATTATGTTTTTTTCCAATCTGATTTTATTTCCATAATTGGCGTTTGTCTTTCTCGCCAACTAGAAATCTAAGTTTTTCTGCGTATGATTTTTTAAATTAGTTCTTCCATATGTGGGGGTGGCATGACTTTCTTTCAGTTTGCTTCCTCTGAAATAAATGTGATATTCTTTCAAAAGATTTTCCTGAGGAAGATTTTTTCAGAAGTTCAAGAAATGTGTAGGTCAGATGAGATGCTGAAAAGTTATCGGTTTGCTTCACTTAAAATATTCTGATCAAACAACAATTTTTTTAAGTCCACTGGTCGAATCCACAGCTTTTCAGTTTGTATACGTAAGTTTTTCTTCAGAAATAGACAAGTAGACACACACACATATATATATATATATATTCACACACACACATAAAACATATATATATATATATATATATATGTATATATGTACACATATATATATATATATATATATATATATATATATATATATATATATATATATATATGTGTGTGTGTGTGTGTGTGTGTGAAAAAAATGTGTTTGTGAGTATTTAGGTAGCATATTGTCATTCATTCATGCTTGATTAAATAATTTAGACGCATTATGTCTATTTATTTTAATTTTAATCCTCTCCCGTTCATGAATTAATTTCATAGTGGCTGTAGAAAACTGATCAAGAAAAATTCCAAAATTTTGTTTCAAGTAATTTTTATTTTTCGAAGTACTTTCAGCCACCGGCTGAGGCCATCTTCAGGTGTTGCATATCTATGGATTTGTTATGCGCTACTATTACAGGTTATGCAGTAAACTCCGCCCCCCCTTCATGTTTTAGCTTATTTTTTTGTTTAGTGATACTGATTTACCTGAACTACTTGATCAGTTGAACCAAGTCGAACACGATGGAATTTACATAGGAAATGGAAGAATACAATTCCTTACCCTCCCTAAATATCAGGCTGCACCCCGTTAACAAAAGTTTAAATCTTGGTGTCCACTGGAAATCAACCAACGCCAACGACCTAATAAATCCATGTTCCCATCATAACAACAACAAAAAATTCGGAATAATGGATTCTACCCAAGGACTCTAAGAATAAGCAGCTCGGATTATTTACACGAAAAGGAGAAATGCGTTGAAAATACATTCAAACATCTCCAGTACACTAATTATTTTATATTCAATGCGGACGAAAAGCCGCCTAAAACGGCCCATTCTGAGTACCCCAATGAATCTAAAAAATATATTAACCTGCCTACGAATTATATCATATCTGCAATCGAAAAAAAATCCAGAGTAACCATAAAACTTGTTACTACTGCATCCAAACAATAAAAGACTTAGACAATACTAAACAAAAAATAAGCTAAAACCTGACGGCGGTGTTTACTGCATGGCCTGTAGTAAATGTCGCAAAAATTACATAGATGCCTCAAGGAATCTAAATAAAAGATTATATGAACATAAAAGGGATATTTTACAAAATAATACATCAATTGCATTGGTTGCATACCGTAACGAGACTGACCACAATGTGGACATAAAACATGCTACTCTGTTCAAGTGCGAAAAATAATTCCTAACAACAGAAATGTCTAGAGAGCGCCGTAATCGCATGGTTATCTATAGTAAATTTGCACTATAACGCTGACAAAATTTCAACATTCCTGGTAGACCTTCTAATGCACTTTTGAAAACCTACTTGCAAAAGTGACGGAAAGAAAAAAAATGAAATCGGACGACAATATATATATATATATATATATATATATATATATATATATATATATATATGTAAAAGTTTCCAGCGCCCTCTGTCGTGCGCAGGTGTAGTCCTATTCAAGTATTTTTTTGATTTTCATATCAAAAATAGATCTGTTTAGGAAAATTGTCTTATATAATGCAGAAAATTGTTTAAAATATGCATTTTACTTGGCCTTCAACAAGTTGGCATCTATTTGTAAAACTTTCCTTATCTATAACAAACCGATTTATGAATGAAATATTCATTTAAAATTTTTGTTTCAAAGGTTTCAAGTAGTGAATATATCTTACCTTGCAAAGCCCGCTAGTATATTATAAAATAAACGCGATATGTGATTTTTAGCAGTATCAAAATATTCATTTTTCTGATTGCTTTTGAAAATAATTTATTAAATTAAGCTTCTATATAACATATTTAACTTGACTATATATTCAGTAAATTATATTTATTTTCGTTAAATTGATAAGCTTCTGTCTCTTGCTACGCACCTCCTCTCTCGTATGAATTATGTCCGGACTGCATGGCGTTCTGGGTAAGACGATAAACTACATCCAACAGCAAGGCCTCTGATCAGGAGATTATGAGGAGCGTGAAATCAACTCTTCATTGCTGGTGTTCCTTGGTCCACCCTGAACCAGAGTGGTAGCTCCTTTTAGAGTCCAAGCTATGGGAAAATACTTAACCCCCAAACTGGGGTCAAAACGCTATGAAAGTGTAAAAAATAGGTTTTAATACAGCAATATTTTTTTTTGTAAAAAATTACCAGCTATAAGAAAAAAATTATTGCCAGCAATACATTATTATCAGAAATACAAATTTGAAAAAAAAATATTACCAGCAATAAAAATCTTGTCGACATTAAATAACATTGAGATTGATATGCCGTAAAACAAACCAAACCAAATCAAACCGAACAGCATGAAATATATTTTCATTGACTTCAATTCCTAAATCTCAAATATGGTTGTTTGTTCTTAAACGAGAAGAATGTTTTGGCACCAATTGCATTAGAGGAGAAATCTTGGCGCCATGACGAAAATTTACAGCTCAACTTGAGCGTTTTCGTTCCAGATGCACAAACGCAGAACATCTGCTCTGCTCTTTTTGAACGCTTGCAAATAGTTGCGGCTCAAATGCTTCTTTATTGAAGACTGACCAGCGGCCCCGATTGCTTCCATCTCATTAGGACTGTGGAAATGTAAAAAAAAATACAGATTTGGTAGTTGGAAGGAAACTATTTTGGGGATTCTCGTAATTTCTTCAGACGTCATAGTTACAAAACAACACTTATACCTAGAAGAGACTAAGAATTGATGTTAGGTAAATATGTAAGAATTTTAAAGGAATGGAAGTTCCTTCTCCTTAAGCAATGTCCCCAAAAAAGCATTTCCCTGAGGCGCCATGATCGAAAATTATATAAAATACACATACGTAAACAATTTGCAGTTGTTTACTCTGAGACGAATTCCTGCAAAATTTTACGAAGTATTAAAAATGTCCATTCCAAATTCCAATGTCAGATATTTTACAAAGATTATAAAATAATGTCACCAATTAAATTCTATTTTTGCAGTCAAATGGTTATCGATGGTAAATAAAATTAATGTTTTTGTCAGGGATTTATTTAATTATTTCGCATCAAACAAGGAGATAAAGCCACTAAGATGCAAGTGGTTACTGAGAGAAGAAAACAAATTCCTGAGAAAACATTATTTACGAGAAAGGACAATACATATTTACATTTACATTACAATTACATGATTAACAAATTGAAAAATAAAACTTTTGAAATATTTTAATTTTTTACTCTTATTGCGTATATGGTAAAATCAAATTTTCCGAATGGTGCGACCTTTTTCAAGAACTAAAACAAATTAATGCCTTTTCCTTTACTTCTGAACAAAAGCCTATCGATTTATGATACAGGAAGATATGGTTAAGATAAAATCATAAAATAGAGTTGATAATATTTTGATGTCTGTTTACACCATCTTTAGAACTTTAATATGAGAAATTACTCCGTTTCGCTAAAAAATGTATTGGCAAGACAGACAATAGGGGTAACAGCTATTTTTACTTTTATCACAACCCGGGCAGTAAGATTATGGGAGATAGTTTGCCTAAGGGCTCACGCGTTTAAACTGTTATCAAATATTGTGTCATGCCAGCAACAAGACATATTT